ATGGCCCAGTACAGGGGGACAATCACTGCCCTGGTCCTGCTGGCCACGTTGCTCCTGATACAAGCCAAGATGCCGTTGGCCTTCTTGGCCACCTGGGCACACTGCTGGCTCATATTCAGCCGGCTGTCACCCAGCGTCTACGGAGCCTTTTCCATCAGGCAGAATTTAAATGGGTCTTCCCACACAGAAGCTCTGTGTGTGTGGCATGTTTTTGTTTTGTACTTAAAGATGCTAGAAGCTATCTTTTTTAGGGACATTTTCTCTTCCACGAAATCACATAGTGTTAAATCAGTCTGAAATGATAGTATGAAAAAAAAAAAATTGATGAGCAACTTTCTAATTTCTTCACAATTGTGCTCAAGGTTGTCATCTTTACTACAGTTTTTCATATGGTTTCACTGCTCTGAGAAAATCGAAACTAAGTTCCAGAAGCTTGTTACAGAACCGAAAGGTGCTGCTTATGTACAATTCCTATGACTTCAAAAATATTCAAAGTTGATCAGAGCCAGGAGGTTATAAATCTTCCCTTGATGTGAATACCTGTGGTGGAATGGTTTGTGTGCTGTGCTGGTAAAGTCTGCCCTTTCTTTTTCCTTTAGCGGGTGGATTTCATCTCTGACCGGTCTTAACAAGAGTATTCCTGTTGGCATTATGATGATAATCGTAGCTGCACTTTTCACAGCATCTGCTGTTATCTCATTAGTTATGTTTAAAAAGGTAAGCTACGTACTACTTCCCTCATTTCCTATTTTTGGTCTGGGTTTTGCTTTCCTGTTGGAGAGAGGTAATCTGTCCCAAAGTACTGGGGATTAAATTATATTCTTAGGGGTGTGCTTTGCCTGTTAACACCTGTACTTTCTTGGTTATACTGTTGTGGAGTTATGAAATGTTGTTTGAGTGATGCACTTATAGTTTGCAAAGTAAAACGGGGCAGGATAGCCCTGGAAGAGAGAAGTTGGGCGGTAAGCCCACAAGGAAAGGGTGGGTGAATGCGCTGGGTGCTCTGTACCTGTAGATGCCAGGTTGTAATTTCCAAATCTCTGGTGATTCATCAGGCTGAGTGAAGTGTGATTCAAGTGATAATCTGAAGTTGCAGCTCATCCCAAAATCGCTTCCACTAAAATCAGTAGAAGGCGGCGATGCCTGGCACCTCAGGAAAGGGTTTTTATTTCTCTGTTCCTATTGTTTTCATGTTTTGTTGTCAATTAGCACACGTTGCATAACGGCTCAAAGAAAGATGCTTTTTTGCTGTGGTTCCTTCTTGTGAATCCTCCATCAAGACTTAAGTTTAGATGCTAGTGTGCTAGTAAGTTTTTGATATTGTTTAGATAAACTGTCGCTGAGACTTGTGCTGACGATGGGCTGGCAGTTCTAATAGTTCAGCCTCAGTTACAGTTCGGCTTAAATATTTTCACATACCCAAACTCTTCTTAAATGCTGCCTGGAAATGTCCCTTCTCACTTGTTTTCTGCATAAATACTCAGGTGCAGGAGAAAGAAACAAGCAAGAAAAATGTATGGTGGAGCATTTTTTTTTTAATTCTCTTCCTACCATATGCATTTGGATTTTTCTCAAAAATCTGGATGCTCAGATGTGACCTTGTTCATCTTTATGGAAGAAAAATGGTCATATTTATAACAAACTCACATCATCAGTTTTCGTGCTACACCTGAATGAAAATGCCTTTGCAGTATTATTTGCCAACCTGATTGTGACTTGACTGAATGAGTCAGAAATAGCATTGCATTTTAATACTCAGGTAATTGGAAGTTACTCAGGATTTGGATTTTTTGTTGTACTAGATGTTACACACCGTATTGTTAAGGGTGTTTGTAGGTCATACTGTTTAATACCTCTCATTATGCAGAGTTGCTGGTCATCGTGCTGGTTTAGCAGATACATTATCTACATTACTAGGATGTTTTATACTTTTTAATATTCAGTCATAACTTCCCTTGTTCTGGCAACCGTACCAGTCAGGGAAATGAAAATGTTTCTACACACCGATGTAGAAGAAAATTCACCAATACATTGTTAACAGCACACACACTGGATTCCAAGCTGCCTTTTTGTTTTGTTTCCTGGTGTTTGGTTTGTGGTGGTGTTGGTTTTTTTTTTAAACCTGCACAGTTACTAACTCTTCTGATGAGCACGGCATGTGGGTTGTATACAGGTGGAAGCAGCAGACGTTTTTGAAAGCTATGAGCTCTGCGTTCTGCTAAGGATGCAGCCCGTTTCCATATTTTAAACGAGCTGTTTTACCCAGTATGTACCACACGCGTTTTACTAAAGACTGGACTTGCAAAATCAAAGTGTGTGTGCCGCAGGGCGGTGGAAAGTTCAGGATTTGTGGGGAAAAGAAGTCTGTTTGCTCATTTCTGGGTCCTTCCAAACATGAGCACACCCCGTTTCCCTACCTTTGCACCCGCGGCTTTGCTTTTAGCCTGCCTGGAAACGGGAGGCTGAGCACGGTTTTTTTGACTGCTTTTCCCCCTCCCTAGGTGCACGGTCTGTACCGCACGACTGGTGCCAGTTTTGAGAAAGCGCAGCAGGAGTTTGCCACGGGAGTGATGTCCAACAAAACTGTACAGACTGCTGCAGCCAACGCCGCCTCAACTGCAGCAACCAGCGCAGCTCAGAACGCGTTCAAGGGTAACCGGATGTAGGGGAGCACAGGTCGCCACGGTTCTCTTCGACTGGGCTTTATTTTCCTGTCACTCATACTCCCTGAAAGCCTAGATCAAACTTCACACAGCATGTTTGTCTCTTCTGCAGCTGTGCATGGGTAAAATGGGTTTATTTCATTATACATCTATTTATTTTAAAAAGGTGACCATTCTTTGCCCTTCTTTAAGACGCTGCATTCTAGAATATAAGGCCTTCTGTAGCTCATGGAGGGTAAATAATTCCAACAGTTAATTCCAACAGAATGAGTTGTGGTATGTGATGATTAAGAATTTCGAAGGGTTTTTTTGTGGTTCACTCCAGTTTTTGGTTTGGTTTTTCTTTTTTTGAACTTCAGGAAAGCACTTTGGATCAAATATTTTTCTTCATAAGGACCGTTTTCCCCATTTCTACCATAAATAAGTGGGTAAGTGGGATAGACTGAGAGTTGTAGACAGTTCGGTTTGGCTACTGCTTTCGCAGTTTCAGCAGCTGCTGGAGGACAAGTACAAGGAGGGTAGATACTATAAATTCTTTTCTGGGGATATTTTTAGAATAAGTCTTTTGATATAAACCTGTAAGTTTGCATGAATACTGTTACTTGATCTTGTTTAAATAGTGTTTTGGTCCAGAATTTACCTGTGCCACTTTATAGCGTTTGTTTTTATCTCTCTCCATGGAGTATTCTCTACCTGTGAGAAATGACTATGGTGCATAAACATTCTGTGTAGTAGAATGTGCAATGCAATGTACAGTTTAAGGAAGTTAACTTGGTGGTTTCAATCACAGAGCTAAATGATTATATATTTGCTATTTTTTAATTTCAGTATTCATGTCTTGGGGTAATAATTTTGCTGGAAAAGAAACCAATATTGACTTCTAGAACACTAGTTTCTTTCCTCCCTTCCCTCTTCTATGTGCAGTGGTATTTTTGTTGTATCTGGGATTTCTTGGGGTTTGATTTTTTTTTCTTTTAAAGTGTAGATTTGTGTTTTAACAGTGGTACTAAATTTCTAGCCTAGTCAGTCACTCTGTTTATTGCTTTTCCAAAAATCTAAATACACAGCATTTAGTTTTCTAACAGGAATGTTGTCTAAAACCAAGCTTTTAAGGCAATGGCGTTTAACAGATACTTGAATTCATTTTAACGTTAACTCAGCCATCTCTGTGGTGTGATTTAAGCTGGGAGGGGGAAAAAAGGCTTTTAAACTATTTGGAGTTGGAAAAGTGAGAAATCTTTATCAAAGTCAAATTTTAACTCATGGAACTGGAGGCCTAAGGGGTTAAATTGGTGCTGTGGAAATGAACAATCTGAAGTGGTACATGCCATCAGAATATTCTAGAACAGAACTGGGTCTTCAGTGTGATGTCAGGTTTCTCTCCTCTGAAGACCCGGTTACATTCTTGGGTTGCCTCACGAGTCTTATGCACAACACCTGGGCTGTTGTTTCAAGCTGCCTTTTAGGAAGTGAAAACGGGAAGGACCAGATCCCCCTGCCTCTGTAAGGGTGCACTGTCGCTGAGGGGAGTTCAGCTCTCGGGGTGAATCACCTTGAATACGCGTAAAATTCTGAGGCCCCTCCGTGTTCTGAATGCCGACCGATGTTCGTAGCTTCTTCTGTCACGGCACTGTATTCATGGCAACAGAAGAGCATTCCGAACACTAAACCCCCTACCTTGATCTCTGGGTCAGTGTTGTACTGTCAGTACCAAGTCCCTGTTAGTCTCCTTTCTTTTGCTCATTTTTTTCTTTTTAAATCCAACTTGAATTCAGATAAATGTCGTGGTTTCCCCTCCGCTGAGGTTCGTATTAATCGATACACTGGCTTCTAGGTGTTCTCCGCATCAAAATTTAAGAGCAGTTTCAATATTCTGTGTCACAGGGGCTCTAAAATTTCAGACTGGTGGACGTGCTGGCATGGAACCTAAATTTGTGTGGGATGCTATTAAAGCTTCCCAGAAACAAGTTTTCTGCTGAGGTCCAGCATCATCCCTCCAGCAGCTGGGTGTCAGGGGTGTGCTTTCCATAACCTGATGGGCTTACCGTGAGGGCCGTGTCTGGGAAATCCACCGTCGGCTGCTCTTGAATCCACACCTCTGTCGCTCCCTTGGGTAGAAATCCCAATTTAACGGAAGTTGAAGATGGCATAGTGACGTACATGACCAGGATTTATTATGGGAAAAAAACATTAGGAATAAAAACTGAGTTTGGTAAAATTCTTTTTCCCCGAAAAGGCTTGAAGGCTCCTTGAGAAAACAAATTTATTGTTAGAAGCATAGGGAGCGTTGGCTTGTGATGTCATGGGTTGAATGTTCGGATTTAAACCCTTCTGAATGAAATTCAAGGTTCAGTTACACGTGAATTGTTTAAACCAATAAAATCTCTGACACTTTGCAGCCCAAAAAGGAGAAGTTTGGGTCTAGCTTTGAAAACAGAAGGCTGGTATTTGTTACAGTATTTCATACCTACGAAAGCCAGATTTTACAGTCTCTTGTTCATTAAGTGGAGTATGGCTCCCACTTCAGTTGTCCTTTTGTAGTTTTGTGGCAAATTGAGTACGAAGTTCGAAGTTTAAACACTGGAATGTCAGTAGTCGTCAATCTATAATTTAGGAGTTGGTTTTATTTATCTGAGGGATGTTTGTATATTTTGTAAATTACCAGCAGTGCTCTGCCATCCTGGTGAATGTCATGGTTCCCTACAAATGCGCTCCTTCTGTCCCTCTGTTGCATGTCTGAGTAGTCTGAAGTTTTGTATATTTATTGTTATTAACACGGTGTCATAGAATAAAGAAAGAAAAGAGACTTTTCCTGGGTGGTCGCTCTGTACAGCGTTGACCAGGGTAGAGATTTTCCTTCTAGCGGTCAGGATTATGCGCAGGGCGGGTGCCCTGCGTGAAAGTCTCGCTCGGTTTTGGTAATTCTATGCATAAATGCTGTAGTTCTGAAACGGGTGAGCAGAATGTCCGCTCTCAAAAAAATCCTTTACCACTTGCAGCCCACATTCTTGTGCTGTAAACGCCTGAGGGCTGACGTCGCCTCTCATTACGGAACGAAATTCTGCAGGTATGATGTGAAACACTGTTGGAAGTGAAATGAAGTTGCTGAAAACAGCGCTGCTTCGGTAGCGATTATTTTCTTGATTTCTGCCTTCGGACTGATGTTTATGTATCACTGCTGCATCTCGATTTTCCTCCTTCTTTTAGGCACTGTGTCAGCCTGTTGATTTCCCCCTTTTTTTTTCCCCCCCCCATACCGTATAGACCGTAATGCCTGGTCTCTACTCCCGAATTTAGCGCTGGGTTTTCTTGGAAGGGCAGGACAACTTCATCCAGAGCGCGGTGACGTGGTCGCGGTTGCACGTGCACGACATGGAGAGTGGCGCTCCGAGGCGCAGCAG